GAAGGGGAGTGGGGGAAATTAAAAGAGAAGATGCCAGAGGGGTGGAAGTGGAGATGCCAGCCGGCAAGTAAAGAATGTGCGAAAGGGAAAGCGAAAGGGGGAATTATAACTGGAGTGAGAGTGGAGTTGGAGGAGATAGACACTGAGCGTGAAGAAGAAGAGGGGTTTCAAGAAAGAGCGGTGAAGATGGACGGAGAGAAGTGGAGAGTAGTAACAGTATACAATAGAGATGCAAATAAAGAACTACTGGATAAGGTAAAGGAGTGGATTAAAGAGGGGGAAGAAGAGATTTTGGTGATGGCAGGAGATATTTTAATGCAAGAATAGGAAAAAACGGAGGGTGGGAGAATAATGAGGGAGGGGACGGTGAAGAGAGGGAGTCAAAGGACGAAATTTTAAATAAGCAAGGGAGGGATTTAGTAGACTTAATAGAAGAAAGAGGATGAATAGTACTGAATGGGGGGAAATATGCTGATGAGGAGGGAGAGTGGACGTATGAAAAGGCGGGTATGAAGTCAGTCATTGACTATGAAATAGTGAATTGGGAAGGATGGCAAAGAGTGGCCAAGTTTGAAGTAGGATGTAGAGTGGAATCAGATAATCAGCCGCTGATATTGGAAGTGAGGAACCAGTACGCAAGAAAAGAGGATAAAGGGGAAGAAGAGGGAAGAGTGCAAGATTGGTCGGAGGAGGGAATAAGAGAGTATAGGAAGAGGATGGAAGAAGTGAAATGGAAAGAGGATGACAAAGGGGTAACGGAGGAATGGGAAGAGTTGGAAAGAGAAATAATGAAGGCGGTGAAAATCAAGAGAAAAGGGAAGAGGAGAGGAATAAGGTGGTGCCCTTGGTGGGATAAAGAGTGCAGAGAGAAAAAGAGAGAGATGAATAGAGCAAGAAGAAGATATAGAAGAGAAAGGGAAGAGGGATACCAAGAATTTATAAGATGCAGAAGAGAATATAGGAATTTGTGTGTGGAAAAAGAAGAGGAATATAAGAAAAGAGAAGAAATAGAGATAGAAAACATAAAGACAGAAGCAGAGGCATGGAATTTTATAAACAGAGGGAGGAAGAAGAAGGAGGGGGTGTGCAAAGAAATTAATATAGAGGAATGGGAAAAGCATTTTAAGGAGGTTTTGGGGGGAGTAGAGGAAAAGAAGGAAAATCAACAGAGAAATAACAGGAGTAAGAAGGAAGGAGAGGGGATAAGTCAAGAAGAGGTAATTAGGGAAATAAATAGGCTAAAAAAGGGAAAGGCGGCAGGAGTGGATGAAATAAGAAATGAGGCATGGAAAGAAGGGGGAGAAAAAATTAGTAGTAAGATAGGTGGATTAATAAAAAGAGTGTGGGAAGGGGACGGCTTCCCAGAGAAATGGAGAGTGGGGGTGGTGGTGCCAATCTGGAAGAGAGGAGACAGAAAAGAAACAGGAAATTACAGAGGAGTGACACTTACAAGTACTGGGTATAAAATTTATGCAAATATAGTGAATAAGAGGTTGGTGAAAGATATAGACGAAAAAGGAGGATGGTGTAGATCGCAAGCGGGATTCAGAAAGGGAAGAGGAACAGTGGAAAATATAAAAATATTGAAGTACATGATAGGAAAAGGGATGAAGAAGAAAGAAAAAGTATATGCCTTGTTCGTGGATCTAAAGGCGGCCTTTGACAGGTTGGATAGGAAAGTTTCTGTGAGAAATGATGAGGAAACGGAAGGTAAATGAAGACCTGATAGAGAGAGTGGAGGAAATATACGAGGAGACGCGATGAGTAGTAAGAGTAGGAGAGGAAATGTCGAAGGAATTTTGGAATTTTGTGGAGAAAGGAGTGAGGCAAGGATGCTCGTTAAGTCCGACCCTATTTAATATATACTTGGCGGATATAGAGGAAGAGTTGAAAAAGGGAAGGGGAGGAGTCAAAATAGGGAACGATAGGGTGTGGTCGATTGAATATGCGGATGACATTGTGCTGGTATCAGACAGAGAGGAGGGACTAAGAGATATGATCAGGAGGTGTAAAAAATACATGGAAGGTAAAAAGTTAGAAATAAGTATAGAAAAATCGATGGTTATGGTATTTAAGAACAAAGGAGGAAAGGAAAAAGAGATTTTGATGGTGGAGAAAGGACAGACTGGAAGAGGTAAAAAAATATAAGGGATACATAATGACAAGGAGTGGAGAAGATTATGAGCACATTAGGGAGAGAATAAGAAAGGCAAGAGTGGCAATGGGCTGGGTTTGGAGTTACGGAGAGAGGAAATT